TACTCCAGGTGTTACACCTTTGCTCCCATCAGGAAAGAGAGTGGCTGGCACCACTGACCCTTGTTCCTTTCATAAAAAGGGAAAATTCTTGCCAGTCCTCTGGCAGAATTCCACTTGTGGCCCAAGGGCCATGGGAAGGCGATGAAGGCTCTAGTAAGGGGTCGGAACCGACCTAGCTGCCGTGGGCTTGTACTGCTCCCCAGGCCCTCTGTTGCCGTCTTGGACAGAGCTTTGTGTGGGAATCTCCTATGTGTGCTGGACATCTAGCTTCCTTCATCTTGGCTTTCTACTACCAAGAATGCCTCCCAGGTTCTGAGACAATTAAAAATACCCCTCTACCTTTATGCTTTCGGGGGAAGGGGTTACCACTCTGCCATTACTGGTTTATCACCTGGGGCCGGGTAAGTTGCTGCCTCAGACCTAGTTAGGATCCTCTTAGGAATTAATAGGAGAAATGACTGCTATTCTACCCACTTTGATTTAATTCTTTTTCCTTAAATGAAGTTGCGAGAAGAGGTTTGGGTAAAAGTTGTGTGTGGTGAGGTGGTGGGATATATAGAGGACAGGGGAGGAGGGAGAGGAAGGAAAGGGATAGAAATAAACCCAGCAGAGAGGGTATAAGCCAGAGATGTCACGCCATACCTGATATTGATGCACATGGCCCAGATCAGTGTGACAGGAAAGAGAAGGCAAATGGACATGGCATGGAGAAAGTGACCTAGGATATGCCTCATGGCTGTTTTCCCAGAAGTGGCCGTTCCATCTTTGCTTTCCACTTGCCATGATCCAAATTACCAGTGTCTTTCCCATCTGCCCCTTCTCATTTCCAAAGCGGGATGAAATTGACCTAAAAGTCACCGTACCTCAAACTTACTGTATTTTAGTCACTGTGCTGACCACACTGTCATAGTCACCTACTAATGTACCTCTATCTTTAATCAGTCTTGAGCTCTTTAGAAGATCTTACTCATCTTTCATTTGTCAGTGTCTGTAACGCAACAGAAGTTAACGTGTGAAGAATGAATGGAAGGGGAAAGGAGTGAAGAGAAACAGACGTGTTTTTGTTTTTTGGACTGGGGATCGAACTTGGGTCCTTGCGCTTGTGAGGCAGGAGGTGGAACCACTGAGTTAAATCCCCGGCCCCAGACCACGTGTTTTAACTCATGGTGTCTAGTTTTCTCATTTCAGTTGGGATATTCTTTTAAGTTCTTAGACTCCAAGTTCATGACTAAGCTCTCTTCTTGGAGTTCCCTACCTCCAGCCCTCATCCAGCCCTCCTGGCTCCTGTTGCACGCTGCTGCTTACTCTGCTGGTCTTTGACCCCCTCACATTCCCCTGTGGGTGCCAGGCTGTGGCTTTTTCCTTATGCTTCCCTGGGAGTTTTGCGCTCAGCACCCCAAGTCTTTGCATGAGTTCTACCTATTCCAAGAAACACTGCATGCTTGGAATTTTCCTCTGTCTTATTGGTTTCATGGGAAAATCAGGATTCTGCAATGAATTTTAATCAGTCTGATTCCTTTTATTAAAGAAACTTTCTACAAAGAGGAAGGTCTTCTGTTATGTCCCTAACACTGAGTCTGTACAGGTTTTGTCGTCATTAGTCTAAATAGAACCAGCTCACCGAGCATGGAGTGGGTTCATCTTCCTCACGTTGATAAAACCAACCTATTGCAACCTACCGAGGATACAACTTTAAGAAATATTTTTCTCCAATATCTCAAGGTTAAAAATCAGGCAGGAGTTGTTGAATTTAAACAAACCTTAAAATGTTATAGGTCTTTACCTTAAACAGGTATCAATAGTAATTCAGTTGTACGTATATGTTGTATGTATGGATGGTAACTGGTATGTAGATATTTGCTAACATTCTATCATGTACTGTATTCTAAGAAAATAGTTCTTGCAGTTTCAAAAAGCACTAAAAAAAAAAGCTTAAGGCATCTCCTCACTTTGGCAATACTGAGGATTGAACTCAAGCCCATCACACTGAGGTGCACATCCCTGGGTCTGGGTCTCACTAGGTTCCTCGGGCTGGGTTCAAACTTGAGATCCTTCTGCTTCAGCCTCCTAGAGTGCTGAGATTGCAGGTGTGTACCACCACACCCAGCTTCAGTTTTTAAAGATTATAAAGCGTATCTATTCAAAAAGTTTACATGACATGCATGTTTTTGTATATAGAAGAAAAAACTATCGTATCACTGAGTTTTGGAAATTGATAATTTAATTATAATCAAAGTTGAATTAAAGATATTTGAGGTTTGTAACTTTAAACTTGTATCATATTTTCAAAACTTTCCCAGATCTTTAACTGGGTGCTGACATTTCTCATCTTTATGTGACTTAAGCCTGAAGAGCACTTTCAGGTATATCACAGTATTTCATTTAGTCTCCACAAAGACTCCAAGGGGAGGATTAGAATCTCCACTTCACAGATGTGGAGGCTGCAGCTCAGAACAGGTGACCTGCTGATGCAGCTGTGAAATCCCAGCCTGGGTCCTCTCTTGCCTATTTCACTGTGGAGAAGTTGCAGGGAGAAAGCAGTGGCCTAAATTCCCTCATGAAAGTGTAAACGAACATAATCATGTATGATCTGCTTTTTCCAGAATGGTCCTTATTTAATAGGGGACTTTTCCAGAGAGGAAAATACTGTCTTTAATATCTGAAACATACAGATATTAATCTTGTGGTAATGTCCTAGATAAGTTCCACGTGTGACAGGGCTGTGAGGAGATGCTTTTAAAAGGGCAAGTGGACCTTTCCAAAGCCCCCAAATCTTGGCGCACAAGCACCATGTCCCGTAGGTCCTGTGCATGGCCTAGGACAGTGGTGGTGAACCTTTCAGAGCTTTCAATGATACAAACAGCACGGTGCAGCATGAGTGCCACAGGTTCACCACCCCTGTTACAAGGGAAAGTAGAATCAGGGATGCCTTAGGTGGCACGGGGAAGCCAGTCAGCCCTGGGCTTTGCTGCTGCTTCATTATCTTTGCTCCAAGACCTCCAGCTTGTCCACAGAGGGCTGTGAGGCCTTCTGGGGTCACAAGCTGGGGTTGGACCAGAGGATGTCTGTCATCTTTAAGCTCCTCTGCCAGCTGTTCCCCAGGGTCCTGTGTCTCCTCGGGCCCCTTGGCTGGTGGCAACCTGCTGCCTCTTATTAGTGCTGGCTGCTAAGGGGGGCCCAAGGCTCCCCAGAGGTCTGGGCCCACTAGGGCGAGGCTGGCTTTGTGGGCCTCGACCTTGGGGGTAGCCTTTCTCAGTGTTCATGCCTGCTTTCACATAGCAGCCTGAGCCTTGGCTCTGGGCCAGGGTCTCAGGTATCTGCCCCAGGAGTAGGGCAGAACCCTCTCTTACACGGGAAAATGGGAGTCTGAGGGGAAAACAGTGAACTCCAAGTCCCAGGCTGTTTTGGACTGACCTTCTAGGCCACATCTGGCCTTTATCAGTACATCAGGGTGTCAGCTGACACTTGATGTCCTACCCTTCCGCAGCCTTGTGTCTGCAGGCTGAGGCATAGCTGAGATAGTTCTTGTGTCCTTTCTCTTTTAGGGCTCGTTTCTTTTGGGAAATCAGTACCTTAGCACCTCAGCTCTCTTTTGTGACTTATCTAGCTTTATTTTTATAATGAAAATATTTTTGTAGCTTTGTGTATCATAAGCATAAAAGCAATCCTTCACTTTTAAAAGACGTTTTTCCTCTTCCCAATCTCCAAGTCTCTTTAGCAGTTGTGCTTTTTTAACTTTGTGTATCCGTGCTGTCTTCCCTGGTGAATGTAATGTACAAGAGGTCCCATCTTGATCTATCCTTAGCTACGCCTTACATTCAGTCATATGGATTGACAGTTAAAGTGGGAAGTCCTGAAGAGACGGTTAGAAAAATGAGGTTCTTGTTCTAAACAAGGTAGCTAAGAGTACACATAGCCTTTTTTTAAAAACTTTTCTCTGTATCCAAGCATTTGGTGTTCATGTCCAGAATGAGACACCTTAATTGAACAGTATTTTCAGGAAACTAGTAGGCGAAGTGGAGTGAGGCTTGCAGGACTCCGTTCTCTGGGAAGCAGTTGAGCCTATGAAAACATATCACCAAAGTTTTGACTTGAACCAAACACATTCTTGTAAAGCCAATTCGACTTTCCTGCAGATTCCAGGTATTAGAGAAATCTTTCGCCAGAAGAAACTTCTCAGTAAGCAGACGTGAAACCTTTGTGGACTGGTCAGGTGTATGGGAGAGTGATTTTACAGTGGTTCTCCAGCTCTTCTTGACCTCCAAGCTGCAGGGGTTTCCCTCGGGCCTGAGGATTCAGAGTCCACCCTTGCTCTCAGTGCTCTCTCTTTGCTTGCTATCTGGGTCAGTGTGATCCTTGTCAGATGCTGCCACTTTTAGGTCGATGACACTCATGATGCAAAACTCCTGTGGTGTTCCAGCTCGTCAGTTCACTGAGTTAAACTTCGTACTCTTTCTTAAGGGATTCCTAAGCTGTGATGCCAGCTGGAGATTTCATTTACTGCCTAAGTTGGACTTTTGTTTTTTCCTACTTGCTTTATATGGATTCTGGATTAACAGCTTTTTCCATGGTGGTTTTCAGTTTTCTTTTTTTCTAGGAACAGAATTCCGTGTTTTTACGAAAAAAAATTACGGTCTTTCCCTTGGTGGTGACCAGCTTAGGCTAGTATGGATTATAGTTTTTCCACCGTGATGTTTATGGTCACTTACTTCTAAGCAAATGAACTGAGGATCTTAGTTGGTAAGGCCAAGAAAGTTTCATTACCTGCACAAAAACATGGATATTGGAAAATGAAGCAGAAATCTGTACATACTGATATTTGAATGCTCAAACTCCCACTGCTTTCTTTAAAATACTTTGAGGAGGGCCGGGGATTTAGCTCAGTGGTGCGGGCACCTGCCTCACAAGTGCAAGGTCCCAAGTTCGATTCCCACTACCAAAAAAAAAAAAACAACCCTGGGGAATATATGCTGATTAACCCATTTGGCTGTGATTTTTAGTACAGAAATGGTCAGAAGGAATGATACTGGAGAAGAAACTAGTACGTATAAAGGAATCCGAAGGAACATCTAAGGTCTTCCAAGAATCTACACAGATGGAAAAATGCACAGACACGGAGGAGGACAATATTGCTGGGCCACAATTCATCAACAAAAGCACCCAGTTTCCGTTAGACCGTGCTGAGCACCGACAGCCTGAGGAGAAGGCTGAAGCAGCTCATGGTCCTTCTTCCAAACCGGCCACCCCCAAGGCCACCAGCCCAGCCCCATCGCCATCTCCAGCACCCGTCTCGGCAGAGTTCGCTTATGTTCCTGCTGACCTGGCTCAGCTTGCCGCTCAGATGCTAGGTAATGTTGCATCTACTCATTCTCATGAATCTGATGTATTAATGGTGGACATGGCGACCAGTATGCCCATTTTTACCGAGGAGGTGCTGAGTGCAGAGGTTGCTGAAGAAGTGGTGGCTGCCCCTCTGGGGTGCCCCAGAGAGGTGCAGGTTGTAAGCCAAGCATCTGTGCAGGTAGATGTGGGTCCTAAAGCTAAAGACTATGAGGCTGAACCATCCACACCTTCCTCAGTCCCCTTGCAGGACGAACACCACCCTCCTGTTTATGATCAAGCTCCTAAGGCCCCTTTGCAGGCTGACACCCCGGTCACATCAGCCCTTCGCATATCATCTATATATAACAATGCGCCTGTCACTGAAGAAGTTGTCTATGTTAAGCGAACCCCTGTTCCTGAAAAGCAGCAGTCACCACCAGGTAGTCCCAAACTTGTAGTATACGAGATGGCCTCAGGCATGTGCAAAAAATCTGTAGAGTCTGTAAAATTTGCAGAGGTGGAGAAGACAAATTACCAGCCCTTAGTCCATGTGGAGGTAGAAGCTATAGTACTGCTGCACTCTGACTCCTGTTTGCAAGGTCAGCCGGAGGCACCTGCAGAACCCCTGCATGCAGAGGACCTTATCGAAACAGGTCCCAAAAAGTCTCTGCACCTTGAAGTGGAGATCATGTCCGCAGACCTTGACAAACCCGGGCAGGAGGAGAAGCCCCAGGAGACAGAGGCCGAAGCGGTGCCCCCAGGGGCGGCTGCAACATCATCTAGTGGCCCCTTCCCTCCTGTGCTAGAAGGTCTTACTGAGCCAGAAATTGAACCAGAAGGGGAAGCAGCACCTGAACAGGTTTGGTGAGGCCAGGTAAGAAATTCAGACATTTACATGTTGTATTTCAGGTGACATCTGTATTTCAAGTCATTGTCTAGGTAGGCTCCCCGGAGGATGGTCAGAGTCTGTTTTCAGTGGTGTTTTAAATGCCAAACCTATTAAAAGGCTTTGTTGTATTGAAGATTTTACTCCTCGGAGTGATTTTAAAGTGATATTCCTAAAGTCTAGTTCTCCAGCACTTTTGTGTTATGCTTTTGCACATACTATACTATGAACATCAGAGCCTGTCATCAGGTACAAATCGGTATTCATGTGATCTGAATACTCCTACTGCAAAGCTGCAATTAGAGGGTGTTAGTTTGACATTTCTCACTTGTGAATGTAAAATCAAACTACAACACTGCATTTACCTGGGCTGTGGCATTTAAAAATGTGAAGGAAATGGTGGTGTGTTGGACGGCTTTCGTACCAGTCAGGAGAGCTCTGCAGCCAGGGCTGGGGTGTGGGCTCAAGCAGCTGCTCCTGCTTGTGGGCGTCCTGCAGCTGAGGGAGCAGTGTCATAGCTGCATGGAGAGGGGAGGAAGTTCTGTCCCACTGGGAGCAGGGCAGTCATAGGCAGGATGGCCAGGCACACGGGCCGTGGTGGAAGCAGTTCCCATGACACTCCTCAGACTGAACTGCTGCTTTTCTTCCTGTGACACACGATGTGATCTCCATCTGATGATGGCCCTTGGGTCACCCTCCTGTTCCCTCTGGACACCTTAGGGACAGACAGGAACATGCATGAGCCGCTCCCTCCATTCCTGTTGCAGAAACTCAACGCTGACTCAAGCCAGAATGATCAAGAAGTATTACCAAAGCAGGTGTTTAGAAGAGAAATTCTGTCTGGCAGTGTATCAGGGATTCGGACAGCTGGAAAGGTAGAGGGCAGTGCTGGGAGCATAGCCTGTGGGGCTGGCATTATCCTTGTGGCTTCGGCAGCATGTCAGACTAAGTCACTGTTTTCAGGTGCTTAACTGTTTCTGAAGTAGAACATAATTGTCCTTGGCACAGTAGCCAAGAAAACTAGGATTGAGTTCTCAAACACTCCTATGTAAAAAAACCTGAAGAGTTGGATGTATTTTCTGATTAAGGAAAGATCAACTCAAAGTACCTGAGGGTGCTGAAAACAGAGCCACTGCCTCACGTCCATAGCATTCTTTGTTCTTTTCTGGGAAGAAAAAAGGCTTTACCAGGGATAGATGGCCCAGTGGCCCAAATTCCTCCATCAGGGACCTTTTCCCCTAGGTCCCACCCATATTACCTGCCTTCATTAGGCAGGTCACATGTGACTGTAGATTCCTTGGTGAAAATCGATGGATGGCACATCTAAACCTCTCTGTTCTTAACCCCCATGGGAACAAGCAGCTGTTCACTGCCAAGTAGGACCTATGATTTCAAGCTGTGCTGAAAAGGTAGCAGATTCTGGGGTACTGAGTCCTAGATCATGAGACGTTTTATGCGTGGTGGGAGATAATGGTACCTATGCAGGGCCAGAAGTGAGTGATCAGGACAACATCTAGGACCTGACTTCTTTGGGAAAGAAAACAGTCACTAGGTAGATGCATCAACACTTATTTTGGTGGCCTAACACTCAGTTGATTTTTTGGTGAAGCCAAAATTGTGCTGACTATCCATTTCATCTCTGAGGATCCTGTGGAGGTCATGTCTAAAGTTCAAGAACCTGGAAACAGCACTTAGAATGAAATTTGCTCCCTGAGCCACAACTCTGGTGGTTCCTGCCATTTGCTATCACAGCACTGTCCTCCTCTTCCTACTGTTCAGAATCACTCATCTTTCACATTGCCAGACATAATTTACTTAGCTCTCTCTATAGCATGCTTTATGGCACATATTACTACAGCTGTTTGTTTATATGTAAAAAAAAATTTTTACAGAGATTGTGCATAACACCTGATACAGAGACCGAACCTTTAATACCTGCAATTTTTTTTATAGCAATAGCAACAAGCGAAGCAAGACAACCACCACCATATTCTAATAACACGTGGACTCTTTATTGTCTAACTGATAAGAATCAACAAAGCTGCCCATCACCGCCACCTGCACCTGGGCCTTTCGCCCAAGCAACCCTCTATTTATCTAATTCTAAGGATCCACAGTTTCTGCAGAATTCACCAAAAATTACTTCTCCTTACGTGATGACAGATGACAGCAAGACCAGTCGCCCACCTTTTGTTTTAGTGGGCTCAAATGTTCAGGAAGCACAGGATTGGAAATCTCTTCCTGGACACACTGTTGTCTCACAGTCAGATGGTGTGAAGAGATACGCTATCGTACATGTACCTATTGCTGTTGCTGCAGACCAGAAATTCCAGAAACACACCCGGAGTCCCCAGAATGCTAGTCCTCCCACAAGTGGACACGATGGCCCCAGGCCACAAAGCCCAGTTTTTCTTTCTGTTGCTTTCCCAGTAGAAGACGTAGCTAAAAAAGGTTCAGAATCTGGTGACAAACATACTCCTTTTGGAAGTTACGGTATTGCTGGAGAGATTACTGTGACCAGTGCCCATGTTCGCAGAGCAGAACCTTAAATCTGGTAGGTAAATTTTCCTACCATAATACAGGGCCTTAATATACTTGAGTTCTCAGCATTTTGATGTGTCAATCTAGAGACAGACATTTTAAAACACTGAAGCGATAAAATGAGTTGGGCATTTATTAGTGACTAGTAGGCAGTTGGAGACAACCCATCAAATTAAGTATGCCTGAATATGTGAACCAAGCAACCCTGCCACCTTTTGAGTATGTGGTAGATTCTAAGAGGAGATGGATTTTTAAAAGGACAAGATCATCTGGAGATTGCTCCTGGAGAGCAAGAAAAGAGTTGGTACTATAGGGATTATATATGGCACACTCAGTAGATACACTGGAGAGTTAAAATGACAACTGGAATTTTTCAGTACTGAATGTACTGAACGACAGTAGGGTGAGCAGAGCATGGAACCTACACGTTGCAGGCCTTTTCTGTCCATATGTATTTGGGGCATGAAAGTGTAAAAAGCACAGGTAACTAAGAGCTTAGAACAGGATGAGCATGAACCTTGGAATTCTGACCTTCCACTTATTTAAACAATTTAATTGTATATATTATTCCTAACAGATGGTGAAAATGACGCCGAGTCATCGGTCAAGGTGCAGCCGGCCACCAAGCATAATATATCACTAAACTTCCCGCAAGCATTAAACCCTGTGTATGTGCTTATTTTACTGAACACAAATGTCTTAAAATATTTTCCAGATTTGTGAAGAGCAGATCTAGGTACAAGTTATCCAGCCAGGAATTCCTAACCTGATACCTGCATTTGGCATTCAGAAAGAATGAGAACAGCCTCTCTGCAAAACTGTATTGAAGTGGCAGCATTTGTACATTTGAAATTTTTCAAAAGATCACGTTTTTGGAGCATTCTAAAGCCTTTATTTAGCATCAGGTAGATTATTTCATTATAACACTTAACTTCAAGACAGCAATTAATTTACTGGCAGCTACCTACAGCCCCTCCTCAGAGCAATATCTCAGTCTGGGGTTTGGGTGGATAAATACTGTAAGATTAATATACCCCAATTAAAGGGGCAAAGCTACTGTACAGTAGGTCTCCATACATATTTTAAGTACACAGGTACCTTACAAACTTAAAATGCACAAGACCTCCCTTTACATAGTTTGATACTTACAATACATACATGAGTGCAGCTTAAACTCTCGGGTGGCAGTAGCCACTGGAAGTTGAAGCATTTAAAAAGGTTCGTCATTATGTAATGATGGTAATTAAAATCTATTTCTAGGGCATCTGAAATGCTAGATTTTATACATATTTGCAGTTCAAACATGTGGAGTTTAAACATTTCAATGACAATGATCACAGAAAACTGTAAAAGTAAAGAGCACTAACATACATATATGAAATACCTTTGCCAGTTTAATTCTTTAGAATTTTCAAATTGGGAATCCCTATTCAGAATATTCAGGCCTTTTTTTCTTTTGGGATAGGGGAAGGGATAAAATTGAGATAATTAACCATCTTATCAATTTAGTTCTTTACAAAATTACAGCCTCTATGTTTGAAGACAAACATTGTATAGGAGAATTCTAAACGTGTCAAAGTTACATCTAAAACATTCAAGCATGACAGCATAAAAATAGTCAAAATAACTTGATCTGGGATTACTATATAATTCCATAAAGCTAGAGTTACATTTAGCAGTCAGAAAAATCATCTTTAGCAGTTTTTCTTACCTCTCTATAAAATAGTATTCCAAATAAGCATGTCTGGATAGGAAAATTATTACACGTTTTTTCCTAAGACTTTCACCACCCAGTATCACCATTTGTCCTACCTTGTTGGATGAAATGCAAGTTATGAGCAGATTTTTTTTTCAAAGAGTAGAAACCAAGGAAAATATTTAAAAACATAGGTTTAAGACTTATTTGTAGGTTAGCCAAACACCCTGACTTGTCTGCATTTTAATAAATGTCAGGCAAATTAAAGTAGTTTCTGTCCCAGTAGCTGCCAGAGTAAATCCAGTCCTGTGCTCCATTGTAGGGGTTTGGGCCCTGATGGAACCACCTGTGTAAAAAGAAAGGACAAGATTTACTACTGGGGACACAGTTTGAAATCACAGGGTATATCTGTGAGCACTTGCCAAAGAAGTGAGGAAGCGGTATGTTTTCTCCTTAGGGAACGTACTGTGTAGAGAGCAATATTCCAAAGTAGGTAAAGATACCTGCAAAGGGGTTATGATTCACAGAAGCAGGACTTCTAACAGGATGGTTAGAAACAATGTTTTTATCCAATGAGTTTGTCCTCTAGCTCCATCTTCCACTAGAAGGCGTTCTTTTCAGCAATCAGGAATTAGGATTAAGAAACACACATTTGCAACATACCTATCCCCAGCAATATGTAAGATGCCTACTTTGGGGCATGTGCCTTCCAAATTCAAGGCTCCACTCTACAGCTAAGGAGCTGAATGAATGTCAGAGCAGTCATGGAACTGCTAGTTGCCCAAGCTAGGAACCGAGAGCAAGCAGGTTTGATTTTAAGGACCATTATTTTTTTTAACATCTACGCTACACATAATTTACAGAAATCTAGTCCAAATCTTCTGGCTCTCTATGTCCTCAATGCTAACATACATTCTTAGGTTACTCCCAGCATGAATATTTTAACCTGTCCTAATTCTACAAAGCTGCCCTATTCATTTTATTGCCCACTAAAAAAATGCAGACCCATTTTCCACAGCACCAACTTTCCGTAAGGTAACAAATGCAAAATTACTTCAAAAGGTTTACAGTTAAATTCATGTCACATTTTCTAAATAAGGGTTTTCAGAATAACATTTGTGATAAGGACCTTTCTGTATCTTTGCCATTTTGTCCAAATAAATTGCTTCTAAAAATATTTAACAAGAGGTTAGATTTGTTTAATCAACCTCTGTCTAATGTTACTGTTATCATTACAGCAAGAATAAAGACATTGAAGAAGGTGGCTTGATATTTGGTTAATTTTTTGAAGGCTCATACAGTGAATGTCCACTCAACTAAATTTTTGAGAATATTACATAAATTATTCATTACCTTTGGGGATTTTTTTTTCTAATTAGAAGTGTAATTTAAATGAAAATGATTAGGGCCATTCAGATTTTGGATATATTAGTAGGGTGCCTGAGGAATCAATAACCAAAATTAGAATTTTTTGTCGAATGTGAAATGTATAGTTATACTACCTTAAGTTTCAAGAGTCAAACTTCAGTAGCCTTAGCCAAGTTAGGCATATCAGAGAAGCAGGCAAATTAGAAGCAAGGCAATCCAAACTATGAGTCCAGTCTCAGCGTTTCCAAGACAGTTTATAAAATGGTTTAATGGCAAAGAATGCTCTTGTCCACACTGGCAGCTCTGAGACAAAGCTCTCCAAAGACTGACTGCAAGCCTACCTTTGAGGGCCATCTGTTCTCAGGGACAGTTCAGCGAGAACACTGCACTGGAAGGTATACCCCAAGTGATGGGCTGATGCAGGGTTCCTGTTCTCACTGTGAGCACCTGCATGTCTGGAAAGCCTGGTGCTGCTGTGACAACATGGCCTTTTCCCCAAGAACAATCCAGTTCATTAGTCTTTCTCAAATATTAAATGTTTTAGAAAGTGTGGTAATAGGAGGAGGAAGATTACCACCTTATATTCATTGTTTCAGTCTACAGAGTCCCAGGATCTACTGAGTAAAATATCATTTTGTGGAGATATTACTGCACATGCTTGCACTGTGAGAAGCATCACCCTGTCTGGCTGCCTTCCCACGCCCTCTCTGCCAGGCCCCATCTCCGGCCTCTTCCTCCTCGGGCCCCAAGGACACAGCTCAGGGTCACAGGCAGCCACACACCCAAGCAGGGCCCACTTACAGCCCAGGAACTGCACTGGAACTCTTCAAGGGAGTGAAGGGAGTGGGATCGGGTATGGCAGCTCTTAGTATAGAGAGCCTGGGCCACTTTCAGGAAATTTCTGAGTTTCATTATGAGGGTGAGTTAGCGCTACCCAGAAGAAAATGACCCTTGACCGAACTGCCCACCTTTACCCACTCTCAGGAGCAAAATATTCCAAACTGCACCGTCTGTCTGAGAACAAAGTCAGTGAATGGACAACCTTACAGTACTACAGGAGAGGAGCTCAGCACCCCATCCCCTCTGACAAAAGCTCAGATGGATCATTTTAAAGAGTGCTCTGTCCAGACACATGGAGCTGGAAGCTCACACACACAGCTCCGCTTTTTATCATCAGACCTTCTACAGAGGTCTCTGCTTTTATCCAACAGTAAATTTCCTAGTGGACTTTTGCTTATAAATAACTGAAAATGTGGCTGCAAATATAAAGGAGGTAATAATTAGAAATAATTAAACCCCACAAAAGTGTGGTTTTTCTGCAGTAGAGACTGAAAATAATAAAATGCATCAGATCTCTTTTTTTTGGTACCGGGGATCGAACTTGGGTCCCTGCACTTGCAAGGCAGGCGGCAGAACCAGTGAGCTAAATCCCTGGCCCCACATTAGAAGGGATCACAGTAAAGTAATGTGGCTGCGACTGAAGGACTGATCTGCTGCTTACCAGTTACCAGCCCTGAGTGAGGCTCCCAAAAGGAAATTAGATATACATTGCTGCCTTCCTCTAGAGCAGCAGTTTCTACACTGTACTGTGGGCTCTTGCACCTGGGGTATGTGCAGGTGGAAGAAGCGGGAACAGCCTGCCCCCACCCGCTGGCAGACCCAGCAGCCCTGTCTACAACGGCTATGGCAGCTGCAGGCTCTTCAAGAGTTCATCTGCAAAAAAGATTCTCATGCTAACAAAAAGTCACTGGATTAGAGATGCAAGATCATTTCTAGTCTAGTAGCTATTCTTTTAGAGTCAAAGGAGTACTAAATATTATCTACTGGAATGCTTGCAAAATTATGCCCATATTGGGTTGAAATTTATTTTGTAACTGAATTATGGGACAATGGCGTCTATTATGTGATAAAAAATGTAGAAACTTTTCTATGCTATTCCTATTTACAAATGATTCTATTACTCAGTAAAAGTGACTAAGTAATTCTTCATTAAAAAAACCAAAACTTTCAAGTCAGAAATCTTATTGGCCACTCTTGACGCCTAAATGGAATCCAAGATGTAACTTTATATTAATCCTACTTCCATCACATAGCAAATCTCTCATATTTAGAAATGTGAAGCCACTGTCTAAATATCAACAACATATGCTATAAGCAAATTTCCTATAATTTTCTCACATATATGATGAGCAAATGGTTCTGAATGTATTTTCATGCCCAAATCCGTAATTCTGGATTTTACGTTCCCTCTTCAATAAGAAAGGGACAGAGTTTACTACATGAGGAATATTATGTGAGAATATTTTAACCTTCATTTTCCAATGGTCACTTTCTTTGTCTCACACACAATTCTTCTGGCTTTACTACTTTCCAGTCACTGGGAATAGCTTTGCTCTGGGGTGCTGCGGTTCCCAGTGTCTGACATTCCTGCCTTGTCCTCATCCACACACAACCGCCTGCCTGAGGGCCAAGCTACTCCCTGAAAACAGCACGCACCTCGTCTTCCAATCCTCTTCTGACTTGGACCTGTTTTTCCGGGCTGCTCTTTGTTTCTCCTCAAGCCGCTTTTTTTCTTCACTAGCTTGATCTAGAGTAAAAACATCAATAAACACGGTAAGAGAGCCACCATCCACTCGGATCAGCATCTGCCCTTGTGCTAGAAGACAGAGCCCACAGTCAGACAC